ATTTTTATCAGGTGAATCTTTGTGATACAGCCCAATGGTATCCTCAGTAGTATTTTTAAAGCTGGAGAAGAGTTGGTTTTCTTATGAGTTGGTTTTCTTATATTGACCCCTGCAAACAAATGAAGCCATAATTTTAAATTGTTAATTGTTTAAGAAATTTTAATGGGAAGCTACACTAATAGAGTTCAAATACAGATAGGCTTGGGACTCTTAATTTGAAACACACTGGTAGAATTTGGGAAACCAGAGGAAATTTTTCTTTTCTTTTTTTGCTCAAGTTATCAGCTGTTACAAAAGGTTTTGATGAAATTTTGCAATGTGTGGGTCTGTCGATATTCTTTTTGATTTGAGAAGAGCCATATGCTTTACTTTTTACAAATTTGTATTTATTTTTATGTGTCATTAGCTGTTATTTAACAATATTAATGGAAATCTGTACTAAATACCAGATTGCTGGTGGCAAATTGAAATTCTGTTACCAAAATTTTAAAATCTTGATTTTCACGGATGAGGGGACCTCCCAGTTCTGCATGGAAGACATGGCTCAGGTTTATGTCTTTTCAGATTAGAATTTGATCTTTCAAGCATCTGTTCATATCTGCTTTATTTTCCCCAGCGGCACTGTAACATTGCTGTTGTCACAGGTACTTCTGCAGGATGAGTTGGAACGAGGAGGAGGGAGCACCTCAGTGATTCTGAGTGTGTCTGTGTTAGGGGAGGGGTCACCCAGGAGGTGGTGCTGGAGCTGCCTCTCACCAGATCATTGCTGGAAAGCCCTTCCAGGTGGAAGGGGCATTGGGGCAGAGGCCTAGGAGCAACAGGGAAGGTGGCATTTTCAGAAAGTGAAAGTGGTTTGTTTTTTTGTTGAAGGATAATAAGTATTAGGGGAATGAAGAGTCATAGAAGAAGCCAGAGTGGTACCGTGGGCCAGTTTGTGAAGGATCTTGTATGTCTTCTGTTCATTCCTTTATTTAGCAAAGATTTATTGAACAGCTACCGTGTATCAGGTTCTGTTCTAAACACTAGCATTCAGCAATGAGTGAACAAAACAGAGAGCGCTGCTCATGTGGAATTGCCTTCTGACAGGAAGAGACGGCAGCACTTGATAGTAAAATTATCTAAGTGCACAGAGAGGTATATTAGTGAGAACTGATGAGAAATTTTGGCAAGAGCAAGAATGGAGGAGAGGCTGCTATTTTAGGGGGTCAAGAAAGACCTCATTAAGAAGGTGATATTGGAATAAAGATCTGATGCTGGTAAAGAAGCCAGTGGGGTGAGTGTCTGAGAATGTTCCATGCTGAAGAAATGAACAAAGTCCCTAAGATCTGGCTTGTTTAGGAGAAAGCATGACGGGGTGTTGGAAAGGAAGAGGAACAGGATGCATGGTCTAAGAAACTATGAGGGCCGGGTCTTAATGGCCTCTGTAAGCATTTTGGCTTTTATCTGGGTAAGATTGGGAATAATTGGAGTGTTTTGACCAGAGTAAGCTATAACACAACTTGAGTTTTTAAAAAGACCCCTTTGTAATGAGTAGAAAGCCAGGAGATGAGTCAGGGCTCTTGCAATAGTGCAGGTGAGAAGAACAGTGGCTTGGACCTGGGGGGTTGCAGTGCGGTGGCTGGGGGAGAGTTTTTGACCTAAGGGTGACATTCAGCCACTGAAAACTTCTGATCACAGAGTGATGTGGGCTGTGTGTGGCAACCATGTGGAAGAAGGATTGGAGAGTTGAGCAAGGAGCTGGATTAGTTTCCAAGGCTGTAAGAATTAGGAATAGAGATAGAAACCTCACAAGTGATGTAGGCTCATGCCTGAAGGCCCTGTGAGCCAGCTTCTTCATACAAAAAAAAAATAGGAATAGAAAAGATTTACGCATTGGAATTTCCTTTGTAAACTTTGCCAAGGAAGTAAGGTGAATGGTTATGGTCAAGTTTACTGTAGAGGAGGCCCTCCTTGCAGATCCCCATGGACCCCTACCACATGCAGGGTGCTGTTCAAGTGCTGCCACATGCATTTGCTTTTGCTCACTTAATCCTCACCGCAGTGCACAGGGTGCTGACGGCAGTCTCCAGGGCACAAAGATCTCTGCCATGGAGCTTCCCTCTGAGAGGTCTCTTTGAGAGATTCACAATTGTCTGGTCATCTCTAAAACTAAATATGAGAAAGTGATCACCTCTTTCCTTTGTGAGCCATGATCATGGTGTCTTCAGAGACTTGGTCACTGCCACGTAGAAATATGTATTATTTCAACGTTATTCTTTGAGTTCCCACTAACAGAAATTAACTTAAGAAACATTAAGTGGAGGTGAGTGGGATTGCTAGAAACTGAAACATCCAGAGGAAGAAAGAGGTGTGTGTGTGTGTGTGTGTGTGTGTGTGCATGCACATGCACGTGCTCACGTGCACACATGTCTGAGCACCTGGGAAATGGTCTAGAAGTTGTGGCTGGGTGCAGTGGCCCCAAGGCTGCCTTCAGATCACTGGGTGTGTTCTCTCCACCTCTGCGGTTCAGCTGTTGGCCTGGGTCTCTTTTTATGTTGATGGCTTCCTCATGTGGTCAGGAGGGCTGCCCGTGTGCAGCTTCAGGGTAAACCATCTTTATATGGTACCTTGATTCTACTGGGAACAAATGACTTTCTGAGAAGCTTCAGGAGAATTCTGAGTTACCTTGTCTTACCTCCAACGCCCATCTCTGGGGCAGAGGTGCACGGCCAGCCCCATCTGAGGGGCAGGTAAGTAACACTAAACAGCTGCCACACGTCTGCTGCACCTTTGCCAGAAGTAAGAGGCATAAGGTTGAGGGCATCATCTGGTAGGCACTGAGTTGCCTTAGGAAGAGGGTAGCCTGTCCCAGCGCTACTCAGTAGTATTTGAGGTTGGTGCAATTATTCTCCTTGGGAAGATATATGACCCATAGTTCCTCTGAGCTGCCAGCCCCAGTCATGTTATTTTTTTAAGGTGAGTTGTATGATCTAGGGTCCAGCAGCTTTTCTTCAAACAGGGGTTCAGTCTGGACCTTCCCAGCTAGTCTAAGGGGGATGGGGAGGCAGCCAAGCCTCAGAACACACACTGTCCTCCTTCACTAGTTCTCTTAGGTGGATACTTTCTTTTTCCCTTCTTAAATGAGCTGATAGTGAGTGGAAAAACAAGAGCTAGCTTTAAAAAAAAAAAAAAAAAGTGTTCCATTTTCTTTAACCTTGACTCAAATTCAGATATTATTTTTTTCATCATAATCTGGTACACGTATACCTTTGTTTACTTAACAAAATACTGTATGATAAAACAGTATTTATCCCTTGCTAAATGCAATGCACTCTTAATAGTTTTTGTTCATTTAAAATTCCATTATAAAAAGCACACACCTCTGGTGGCAGAGGGTGTGTGCTTTTTAATGGGTGGCAACTTATAGGTTGAATAATATGAATTAAACTGGTGAAAAACAGGCAGTAATGGTGTATTAGTTTAGGCGAGCTTCTGCAGCAAAGAACCACACATCAGGTGGTTTCAACAACAGAAATTCTTTCTCTCACAATTCTGGCAGCTGGAAGTCCAAGATCAAGGTATTGGCAGAGTTGGTTCTTTCTAAGAGCTGTGAGAGAAAATCTGTTCCATACCTCTCTCCTAACTTCTCCTGGCTTGCTGGTATTTTTTTGGTGTCCTTGGCTTGTAGACATATTATCCTATCTCTGCATTATCATGGGATATTCTCCCTGTGTCTGTGTCCAGATTTCTCTCTCTCTCTCTCTTTTTTTTTTTAATCCAGGAGTGCTTAACCACTGAGCCACAACCCCATCTCTTTTTTTTTTTTGAGACAGGATCTTGCTAAGGTGCTGAGGCTGGCCTTGAACTTATGATCCTGCTGCCTCAGCCTCCCAAGTTGCTGGGATTACAGGCATGCACCACCATGCCCAGCTTCAGATTTCTCCCTTTACAAGGATACCTGTCATACTAGGTTAGGGTCCCACCCTACCTCAGGACAACCTCATCACAACTTAAATAATTACATCTGCAGTGACCCTATTCCCAAATAAGGCCACATTCTAAAGTATGGGATGCTGAGACTTCACTGTGAATTTGGGGTGGGAGACACAGTTCAACCCATCGCCTGTTACACCTGTTCGTAGAACATTAAGAAGGAGCCATGCGTAGCCATTTGGTCTGAATTGAAACGCAGGGAGTAAACACACTAAGTTAAAATCATGCTTAGGAGTATTGCAGGGAAGCCTCCTGAGCAGATTCACGGGTGCCAGTCCCAAAGGGTCCTGCCACAGGTCTGTGGATCACATGCTCCCGGGAAGGGAATGCCAGTGAACCCAGGGCTTTGTGCACCGAGCTTGTCCCCTGCGGCAAGTTCCTGCATACCTGCCAACGCCAGCAGCCAGCCCGACTCCCTCCCTCCCTTTGTGCTTCCCCATCCTCATTCTGAATTTAGATCAGGGTAAAGAATAGAGAAAAGGAAATGAGCCAGAAAATAGAAAATTAATACTTGGTAGAATCGTCATATTTTAAAATTAATTTATAGGCAATGTCAGATAACAGGAGTTAAATCATTTTATCAGCAGGTTGCTCTAGGATTTAAAAATTGGCATCCATCATTGTAAATCAGGTCTCAGGAGCCCCAGGGAATGGTCTCCAGGGATGAGGGTTGACATAGGGTGGGCAGAAATGTAAATACTTGATTAGCTGTGTCCTTTTCTTTCACAGAGAACCTAAAATATTTTTACATCATGAGTGATAACAGTACGTTAAATAGTAACGGGAGGGACGCAGCTATTCAGGTTTATGGTTAGGCTTGTTTTAATATTTAATCTTCCTCCCTGTGAGTCCTGGGAAACTGGTTATGGGAGAGGCACTCAGTTCAGGGTATCCTTGGCTCATAGTTCTAGGGATGGCTTAGCATCCTTCTCCCCCTTTTTCCCCCACGGTTAGGATGCCATCTCTCTGCCTGAGGCCTGAGGGACCTTCCACAATTAACAACCTTTCCGTCCTCTCCTGTTTCGCAGCTCTTTGTCGCGGGCGTGTGGTGAGAGTCCCAGCAGGGACCCTGGTCCGGGTGGTGGGCACTGAGCTGGTCATCCCCTGCAACGTCAGTGACTACGACGGCCCTAGCGAGCAGAACTTTGACTGGAGCTTCTCATCGTCGGGGAGCAGCTTCGTGGAGCTCGCAAGCACCTGGGAGGTGGGCTTCCCCGCCCAGCTGTACCGGGAGCGGCTGCAGAGGGGCGAGATCCAGTTAAGGCGAACTGCCAACGACGCCGTGGAGCTCCACATAAAGAATGTCCAGCCCTCCGACCAAGGCCACTACAAATGTTCCACCCCCAGCACAGATGCCACTGTCCAGGGCAACTATGAGGACACAGTGCAGGTTAAAGGTACAGTCCTCATGTGGGGTCACTGTGCTGGGGGCCAGACCTTCCTCTGCCATTTGGCTGTGTCCAGAGACAATACCCATGTCCAGGGGACTGCTCGTGTCTTACCTGGTTAAAAGCAGAGGAGGGACCAGGTGACCTCTAAGTGCCCTTTCTCTTCTCTTCTACATGGTTCTGAAGCATCTCAGGGGCCAGGGAGTTGGAGGCAGCATGGTGTGGTGGGAGAGCCAGCTCTGGAGCTAGGTCGCCAGTGCTCAGTCCAGTTCTGACTCTGTCACTTGTTAGCTGTGTGGCGGTGGGCATGTGATATGCCTTCACTTCCTCCTCGCTGTGACAGTATGTACCTCAAAGGGTGTGAGACAGGTAAGTTAACATGTGCTAGGCCTTAGAGCAGTGTCAATAGCAAGTTGCATTCAGGGGTTAGTGACAAGAAGGTGTTGGTCACGATGACAATGATAAGTTGTACAGAAATAGCCCTTATTTCAAAGTTCATTTTTCTTTGTGACCTGTATGGTTTAAATACCTATTTGTAACAGAAGTTGTATGTTTGTATATACCCCCAAAATGATCTGGTCACTGCTGTTCATTGACCTGGCTGTGTAAAGAATCATATCTTGTATTATCTGTCTTGGGTTTTATTTTATTTTTTCCATCTTTCAAGACCTTTTAGATTTACTCACACATTCAGTTCTCTAACTCCACTGAAAAAGATAGGGCAGGATATTTCTCTAATTTAACAGGAGGAAATGGAAGAGCAAAGGTTAATTACTTGCCTAAAATCACACAGCTAATTAGTAAATGAGCAAGAACAAGCCATTTTAATTGGAGGCTAACAAAATAGAAACATTATTATTGTTATTATTATTAATTATGCATTTCATTTGTACCCTGCCTCGTTCCCAAAAGGATAGAAATGTATGTAATTATCAGGACAGTGAAAAATGTACACGAGGATATAAAAAGAGAGGGTTGTTCCAGGCGTTTGTATCCGCTATGATTGGTAGAACCTTCCATCTCGGGCACTATCCCCACACTAGAAACTCATGAAGGAATGAAACAGCTACCCATGTCTGTTAAGTAGGTTTAAAGCATTAACACATCTAATCTACCTCTTCCATTTCTTCTACTTCATTCCTACAGGAATAAATCCCTACTTTATTCCCACAGGAATAAAGTAGAGGAGTAAATCCTGAGTGTGTTTTGTAGAAGTCCCGTGTCATTCTTGCATTGGAGTTACAATGCAGTGTGACATATCTCTTCTCCTCTAGGTCACATGCAGCCTTGACTTCCCTTGTGATTCTCATCTTGAGGACCAGGAGGGCAGCAGGAGACTACCACCCCAGTCACCATCCCTAGTATCTTTTTTTTTTTTTTTTCTTTTTTTCTTCTGTTTTTTAAAGAAGGGAGAAGCAAAGGAAGGCTTTTCTTGGCCTGAGAAAGCAGATGGATGACCGTGAGAGAGACTGACTGGCTGTCTAGATGGAGCTTCTGGCAGGTGCTGCTTGTATTCCAGGGTTTCTCTGGCCTTCAACTTCATGGGTCATGAAACTATTCATCTATACCCAGAGAGAAACCGACATTGAGAACCAAATCGTGTTAGCCAGACTCACAGATTGATATATAATGCTAGAAAGTCACGGCATCTATTTTGTAGAAGGGCTGGATCTTTAGAATATGCCCTTCTAAAGTCATAGCAGGTTTTTTCTGTTATCTAGAGTACTCCCTTCTCAGGGACACTGAATTAGTTTCTGAGAGTGGAACTGAGAGAAAAACCAAAGAGATGAGCTCCTGGACTAAACTGATAGATTTTCCATGCCCCTTGTTAGACGTCCCCTCTGTGGTTACTAGAGTACCAATGTTGGTTGCCTATCCCTTCTCTTCCTAAATCGCACTCACTAATAATTCCTTGACCCCTCCCCCCCCTTTCTAGACCCTGTAGAAGTGCTGTTTCTTCCAGTGAGCCCTGGGAGAGCAATAGCTGGACCCTCAGCTTTCTTTGGCCTGGTCTGTCCTGTGGATACGCTGTTTCCCCTGCTCATCTCAGGCAGTTCCCAGGTGGTGAGCCTCAGATGGCTCATGCCATCCTGTCCCCCAGCAGATCTTGGCGGCTTTAACTCTGAGAATGCCTCATCTGCTGGCTGCGGACTCCCTGTTCTAGCCCAGAGTCCTCACCAGAGAAGTATTTTGACAGTGATAACCAGTTGTTTTATCCTGATGTCAACCACTGTCCTGGGAACGTGCCCTCTTTAACTTGTGGAACTCTCGGGTCAACCGCATGAGGAAGGTCCATTTTAAAGAAACTGTCACAAAAGAATAAAGTAACTTGCCTCAGGGTGACAGAAGCACATCCCTGAAAACTCAGCTACCAAAGGCAGTTTTCCTTCCCCACCCCAGTTCTAGCCAGGGGTTTAGTAGTCTCTTCTTCCTTTTTATTTATTTATTTTTTTTCTTTTCCTTTTTTAAGTCACTTGAGATAGATGAGTCAAAATGGGAAAGTTGCCCATCTGGGCATTAGAACGGGAAAGGAAGAAAGGATTTGACTTTGGTAATGGCTGCAGGCATGGTTCAAGGCCAGAGTCCTGGAAGGTGGCTGGCCTTTGCCACAAGGGGGCCCACGTCCGCTGACCCAGATGTGTTCTCTCTCTGCAGTGCTGGCAGACGCCCTGCACGTGGGCCCCAGTGCGCGGCCACCGCCCAGCCTGAGCCTGCGTGAGGGGGAGCCTTTCGAGCTGCGCTGCGTGGCCTCCACTGCCTCGCCCCTGCACACGCACCTGGCGCTGCTGTGGGAGCTGCACCGCGGGCCCTCGCGCCGGAACATCCTCGCCCTCACCCACGAGGGCAGGTTCCACCCGGGCCCAGGCTATGAGCAGCGCTACCACAGCGGGGACGTGCGCTTTGACACCGTGGGCAGCGACTCCTACCGCCTCTTGGTGTCCAGGGCGCTGTCTGCCGACCAGGGCTCCTACAGGTGTGTGGTCAGCGAGTGGATCGCAGATCAGGGTAACTGGCAAGAAATTCAGGAAAAGGCGGTGGAAGTTGCCACCTTGGTGATCCAGCCAACAGGTGAGCTTCCAGAAATGGTGTGCATAGACTGTGTGTTGTGACCCGTGGTGGGATACAGAACTGAGCCAGGGAGCCCATGAGTTTTGAGAAGAACTATGGGCCTCTCTGTGAGGCCTTCCTTTGGGGGTGAAGGGAACAGGGTGGTGCTGATGGTTTGGGCAGAGGTGCATTGGTTTTGAGCTCTATGCCATCGTTTTTTGTGTGGCAGCTGCACTTATCTGATCTTATACCCATGGGAAGCTGCAGCACATTATTCAAGGTACTTCACTCAAAGATGAGAACATCAATTCCTCTCAGAGGGAAGCCCTGCCTGGTGTGCAAGGGGGATTTGGGGTGGATCTGCCCACACCTGCTCCCTTGGCTTTATCTAATTTGTGTTTTCTGAGTCAATCTGCCTGTCACCACAGATATTGGGATGGGTCAGGATCACCCCCGAACCTCTTACCTAACTTTCATTCTCTAGGCATGCCTTTGGGGTCCCCTCAGCTGTGCCAACCCATCAGGTGAGGTATTCTGGAGGGCTGGGCCCCTTGCTTCCTCTACCATCCATATCCCAGGAGTATCTAGCCCTGGGTCTGTTCAAGAAGTCCTTTTTCCTATCATTTGTGAATCTACCCCGCCCCCCTTTTTAACCCCCTATTCCAAATACAGAATAATTAAGAAAATAGAAAAAGCATGTTAGAAAATACACAAAAATTAGAAGAAAACAATATATATATTTTTTAAAAAGCCAGTGTTGACTTATTGTTTAATAAGCATTGACAGAAAACCTGTGTGGCTCAGTTCTGTGCTGGGCCCTGGGGGCCTGGGGGCCTGGGGGCCCAGGGGCCCAGGGGCCCAGGGGCAGGACACTTATTCCCAGGCCCCATGGAGCTTGCAGTTTCAGCAGAGATGGACTGCAGAAAGACCATTGCAGGGTAGTGTCATTGCTGGGCCTGAGTGGGTGGACTTTGTGTTCTCGGAGTGTGACTGACAGATCTCAGAGTGCTTTGCTGCTGCTACTGCTGCTGGTGCCTCCTGTTTTTTAAACTGGGAAGACCTTGGCTAGGCTCATTTCCTGAGCAGAAATGTGAGTGTGTGGCTGCTCTGTTGCTTGGATGGGAAGGAAAGAAGGAAACAATGTGCACCGTGTTTGTCTCTGTTAGACATATTGTCCTGGGGACATTCCTCTGCATTTATGCCACCACCTCAGAACTGGATTCAGTAGAAGTAGGTGTGAAAAACAAGACTGAGCTTCTCGAGTGACTGTGGCCATCAAGGAGAAGAGCTACCCATCACCGTTACAGAAATCACTCTCCAGATGGATTCAAGTCACTTTTTTTTTTCCCTCTCAGTGCTGAGGCTGGAACCCAGGACCCTGCACGTGCTAGTCAAGTGTTCTACCAGTGAGCTGCATCTCCAGCCCTCGGGTCAGCTTCCTTAGCAGAAGTGATCTGTCTGAGAAGCTACCCTACAAAATCTCCAGCTATTCAGCCTGCATCAAACAGCTATTTTAATGAGACAGGAGGGTTAAAAGAGTTTCAGCTTTGCAGCAAGTTAACCATTTTATGCAGGAATTTCAATTGTAAAGTTTTTTTTTGTTTTTTTTTTTTTTTTTTTTTCCTTTTCAAATACCACAAAACCCATAGTATCTTGTAATAAGACTGGAACACTGAGCCTACTAGGCAGGTAATAATGTCTAGCTCTCACCTGAGACTGAGGGTTCATAACCTTTTTTATGCCATGGGCTTCCTTGAGAGTCCTTTGAAGTTCCTTTGTCAGAATTAAGATGTCTTAATTCTTAAAACATAATACACCAGATGACAGAGTAAAGCACTTATGTTGAAATAGTTATCAAAATACTTGAAGACAAATTTAAAATAATATTATGCTTCTTTATTAACACGTTAATAATAAGATATAATGGTAGACCTAGCAAACTATCATAATTTCTAGGTAGCAATGAATGTAAGTGATATTTTACAATATCTGCAACAACTATAAACCTATAATGTAATATGAAAATAACTGTGATTTCTGTTGGAGCGAAGTCCCAGGGGCAGGTAGTACTACCCTACTCATTTTCACATTGTGAAAAGGTACTCTATTTTAGGGAACATTGGTAAAATGGATTTTTTTTTTTCCCCATACACATTCACAGATTCCATAAATTCTCTTTGTAGACCCCAGGTTAAGAATCACTTGAGTTATAGTCATTTCCATCTTGTCTAAGTTATGGTTATTCTCTTGTCTTGTACTATCCATAGCTGCCTGCTTAAATATTCTGATCACATTGTTGTTATAAATGGCACAGAGCCACTTAGACAGTGAAGCTGTGTTCCGGATGAGGTAGTTACCCGCCCCCATTCCCCACAGTTATAGTACCGGGTAGACTGGGTGATGCAAATCTTGGTGTCTAGTTTATGGATGCAGTTGTATTACAAGGGAGAATTCCTACAGCACAGGCTTTGCCTAGGTCCCCTCTTGCACTACAAATCCTTTAGAACTGCTTCTTTATTTCCCTCCAGCCTGTTTTCCAGTGGTAAACTCCTGAATCCAGAATGTGTGAGGCCTATGGTTAGTGATATGACAAGATGTTTAGCCACTTGCACAAATAAAATTACAAAGTGAACTATGCAGTTGAAAAGACATTTCTGCCAACATTTCCAGGACCCAAGGATCTATTTTCTCAATATACACGTACCTCAGCTCCATGCTGAGTACTCCTTCACTGACCTGACACCTTCCTGAGTCAGTCTTCCCTGGGGGAGCTGTTGGCCCAATAGCAGCTCCCCCAGCCGACTTCAGGGTTTCGGTCCACGAGCATTGTACTGTAAGTGGGGTGGTTCAAACTGCAGAAACTGGCTCAGCGTGGCAGTTTCTGTGAGTCCTCTCAAAAGATGCCTTCAAGTCACTTTTGGCTTCTTTTTAAAGAGACGAGGGAAGAGGAAGAATTTGAAGGATGAAACTGGACTTCTAAATTTCTTTTTCTGATGCTGTACCCACCTTCTTTTCTGTCATCTCTCACAGTAAATGTTGAACTTGGCTTGAAAGGCTTGTTTGAAATTTTGTGAAACTCTGGAAATATTCATGTGCACGTAATGTACACCAAAGGGCTTGGGCTTTTCGCTTGGGTCTTTTCTGAACTGGGCACCAGACTCTGTCCCTGAACTTCCTGGGGACAGTGGTTGACGCACTGGCTCTTGCTAGCAGGCCAGGGCTGTGCCCCCATTCCCATCCCCTGGGTGATGTCAACTATTTACCATCTAAGTAATTGTTCCCAGAGCATTATCACAAGTCCAGTGTTTTCCTACTCTGATTACAGATGTTTGACTCCTTTTCAAAAATCCCCTGAATAGAGTAAAATGTTTCCATATAAAAGCTTTGACAGGGGAATGCTGAAACTCGATCCCCTGGAATCTGTGGCACCAAATACTTCAGTGCTTCATCTAAATATAGTCTTATTTTAATTACCCACACTAATGAGAGAGGGCAGTAGCGTGGATAATCCAAAAATCATTGTGTTCTGGCTATAGAGTATGTCTTATGTTTGACTTTTAGGTGGGAATTCTAATGAAATAAATATTTCTCTGAATTGATTCAAAAGGAACACTTTACTTTCTTGTCTGCTTTGGGTATTTTTTCTTTCTTTTTCTTTTTTTTTCCATTGTAGAGATGGAACTCAGAGCCTCATGCATGTTTGCCAAGGGCTCTGCCACCGAGCCATACCCCCAGCTAAGGCTTTTTTCCTTTTTTCTAGAAAAATGGTTTCACCTTCACTTCCTACCTTCTCTTTCTCGGTCTCAAACTGACTGTGCACACATATCAGAACTAAGCTGTCCTTCTTAAAAGCACTCAAGTTTTATTATGCAAATGGAAAAAAGTTTAATTTTGGTGTTGTGACTTTCAGCAGACTACTTCTTATCAAACAAACAATAGCTTAACAGTTAAGACCAGAGTTCCTAGAAGCAGGCAGTCTAAATCTGAATTCTAGCTGTGACCTATATTAACGATGTGACTTGGGGCAGGTTACTTCTCTGTGCTTCTGGTTCCTTATCAGTTAAATGAGGATAATAATAGTATCTTCTAATAGAATTATTTTGAGTATTATCCTCAGAACATTGGGATATAGTGTGTATCAGTATTTGCAATTGTTTTTTTTTTTTAAATAAAGAGAAATGCAGCATGTTTCATGAATTTATCCATTAAATACCTCTTAAGTATGTAGAACTGTACAAAGCCTACTAATTTTCATGCCATAAATGAGAACTTAAAAGAAGATGATCTGAAGGGAAGCAGGGTAGGAGAGATGAAAGGTGGAGGAGGCAGACCTGATCCAGATTACTTAGATTTATTTGTTGTTTAATTTACAAGTTCTGCGAGCAGCCGTGGCCAGGAACGTGTCCGTGCCTGAAGGAAAGGACCTGGACCTGTCCTGCAACATCACGACAGACCGGGTGGATGAGGTACGGGCCGAGGTGACGTGGTTCTTCAGCAGAACACCTGATGGCTCCTCTCCTGCCCGCCACGTGTTGGCACGACTGGACCGTGATTCCCTGCTGCACGGCTCGCCTCACGTGGCCTTGAGTCACGTGGACGCACGCTCCTACCATTTACTGGTCCGAGATGTTAGCAAAGAAAACTCCGGCTACTATTTCTGCCACGTGGCGCTCTGGGTACCTGGACACAACAGGAGCTGGCACAAGGTAGCAGAGACCATGTCTGCACCTGCCAGCGTGGGTGTGACCTGGCTAGGTGAGTGTTGGGAGGATGGCTTTTAGCCTCTCCGGCTTAATCCCTCCTTGGAGCTGTCTGGAGGAGTCTGGGTGCTGGGTGTGCTGCATTATTTAGACCTTCTTTTTATTGGGAGAAGTGTACTTTAGAGAGATCTAAAGCTGGAGGTGAAAGCAAAACTGGCTGAAATAGAATCTGGCAGGCAAGGGGAATGTTTAGATAACGTGGCCTCAGTTGTCTCAGTGCCTTCAATTGAGAGGGCATAGTTTCCTTTTGTTGTTGAGATTTGCAGGGTGGGAGCTGTGCTGGATGGATGGCTTTGAAATGGACCTTTGTTGGAGGGCGAGCACTGCCGTTTTCCCTTCCTGTCCGACACTCCTAGGTACTCCTTGGCAGGCGCTGCTGCTTTCCAAAGCCCTGTGCAGAATTCCTTCAGCTAATAGGAGGCTTTTTTTTTTCCCACTTAAATGCCCTGGAATCCCAAAATGATTTTATCTGCTGCTGCCAGTTACACATAGGGGGCTTCCTGCTTCCCCAGGCTCTTCTTGGGGGCTCTCTCAGCCTGGGTACATTTTCCTTGGTGGAGAAGCAGAGTTGGTCACCTCGCCCCCCCATTTTTAGTAGTGTGTCATATGTGCAGAGATCATCGTCGTTTCCTCAACTTGTCATATGTGTGACCCCTGGCCTGACCTCGTGTTTTCTTTTTCTACCATGCTCATCTTCCCCATCCCTTGTTTTCCTACGTGTTTTCTCACTGAGCGAAATGTGTGTGGGCTCTTCCTAATTTTCGTTAATGGCTTGTAATTGCAAGTCAACTCAGGAGGGATGGGGTCCAATGGGGTGTGGAAAGCCTTCCTCCCACCTGCATTATTACCAGGATGGGAAGGGCCTACCTGTCAAGCTCTTTCTGTTTAAAGCTTTGCCTCGCTACTATCCCGTGAGTGCATTGGGCTCTGAGGAAGGCATTAGGCATAACTTTGATTATTAGGAGGCAAAACACATCTTTCAAGGACAGAGAATGATTTCCTCCTTTGTCTGTTACCAAACATTTTCCTGCCATGACATGCCACTCACTCCTGGCTCTTCTCTGCATGGAAATCTTCTGTGAGAGGACTGCTGTGTTCACTGTCTGTCTGTCCTTAATAAGCCTTTATTTGGCAAAGGTGGGGGATTGGCAAGTGGGGACAGAGGGGGCAGGGAGAAAGGTAATAAGAGAGTAAGCAGAAAGGACAATCCAATTGCAATTGTGACTAGGCAGGGTGTTAGTCATCCCTGTTAACAAAGTGAGCCTTTGATATTGGGAAAGTAAAAGCAGCAAGGTTTATCTGGTGAGCTTTTTATTCCTGCCGTCTGAGCCTTGTGTGAGAGACTCACTATGAAGTACTGAACTGGAACAATGTTGGCCCAGCTAGAACTCTCCTTAGCAACCTTCAAAATAAAACAGATGTTGTCAGCACCAAAAGAAGATTTTTCATCTCTGGAGCTGAATTTGTCTCATAGCTCTGATCCTCAGTGCATTGTGTGGCGCTGTCAAATTCCAGCGCCGCCTTTCCCTATCCCCTCCCCCTCCAATTTCTGAGTCCCAGCTCGAGGATTTTTTTTTTTTTTTCCGAAAGTGCTGCGTGCACTCCAATTTGAGGGTTTCTTTGAAGTACTCACGTATTGATCCTGGCATGCCCCGGGGGAGGTGCAGAGACTGTCAGACATCAGGAAAGGAGCTCTGGGAGAGCGTGGGCTCTTTTAACTGGAAGGGATTTGTTGGTGGCTCTGTTCTCCAGAGAGCAAGAAGAAATAAAGAGACTAAATTGTGGAAAAGGTTCAGTTATTATCCTAAGGATCCTGTCGTCTGCTTTCCTGCGGAGTGCCGGCACCATTGTCGTGAAAATCATCAGCGTGCTTCTCCCTGACTGATGCTAATGCATATGGAACCCTGTGCCTTTCCTCACTTTACGCAGAATAGGCACTCGATAAATATTGGCTGATTGGCTGGATAGGCAAATCATCCAGGACCAGCACATGGATAATGTTAAAATACGTACACAGGGAAACCAGAATTGCAAACAGTTTTGCTCAAGTCAGAGTATTCAGGGATATTTGCACACAGATGAACCTACTAGGAGTGTTAAGTGGTATAAAAAAAAAAAAAAAAAACAACCGCATTCTTTTCCTTCTTCTTCCCTGTGCTTGTGACTCATACCCTTGCAGCTGCTTGGACACTTGTCAGGAGACGAGCTGGGCATGAGTACAGCAGCAGACATTTAGTCAGGATCTCCACGCTGGGTTCTCTGCCCAGAAACAGATGTGCCTGACCTCACCCTACATGGTTATCTCTAGAAATGTAACTTGTGTATGTGCATGTGCCTTCCATGCCAGATGCAACTTGGGGCCTGAATGAGGTAACAGGGAAGTGAGCCCCCTGCCCTCAAAAGCAGGAAGACAGGTGACCTTCCAGGTATATAGGTCATCTTAGGTTATATGACTGTGGAATGTTGTCACAGAAGCATTCTTAAGAAAGCTGGATCCCCAGCTTTGTCATGTGGCAAACTTGAGTTTTGTTGATACATACACAAAACTCGATGTTGCCACTTAACAGATCCAGAATTATAATTTCCATTGATTGAGCAATTATTTAGTTCTGTGGACCAGACATGTACTAAAGGACTTCATAGCATTAAATGTTTAATCCCATAACAATCCCATGAGTCAGGTACCACTCCCTATCCCTGTCTGAAAATCACTATTTTTTTCATTTTGCCTATGATTTTGAGGGTCAGGGGTAAGGGAGGGACTCAGTGGGGTCCATCTCTAATACAGTGATGACAGCTGGGGCACTTAGGACTTCGGGCTGCCTTCTAGGTAACTTTGTTGTAGAAGTGACACCACGATCCTGGGCCTCTCTCCTCATATACATCTCTCCACAGGGCTTGGGCTTCTCGCAGCTCCATCTTCTCAGAGTAGGTCACATTTCTTATGTGGTGGATACCTTCTAAGAAGCAGGAGATGGAAGTTACTAGACCACTTAAACGCAAGGTCTCCGACTAGAACATTACAGGCTCTGCTTTCTTCTATGGGTCAAGTCATCCCAATTTCAAAGGGATATAAGAGACCTCCTAAAAGGGAGGGTAACAAAAGATCCCCTTACAGCCATCTTTGGAAAATAGAATCTACCATGGTGGAGAACACTTGCTTTTCCTCTCTCTCTCTCTCTCTCTCTCTCTCTCTCTCTCTCTCTCAGTTTCAAAAAAGATGCTGGGGATGGCTTAAAATTATGGCCCAAGGTCAAGTCTGTTCTAAGTATGGTCACCTTTGGCCTTGGCGACCTGCTTCACTTGAGAACATCAGAGCATTGGCTTCTAGAAGCTGGGTAGTCATTGTTCTCGTTTGCTCAGCATTGGAGTGCTGAGGTCAGTGAGTGCGTGCAACTGGTCGGGGTCTTCTCGAGTTCTGTTGTGTCAGCTGGGAAGACACCAGGGCACTTGTGGGAATGGTCTGGCATCTCAAGGAGCAGGTGATCACGGTGATTTTTTTTTTTTTAAGTGAGAAACTCCTCTTTTACTTAGGATTTATGTCTTACTTCAGAGGGGGAAAAGGTTTAAGTTGGCTTACAGAGTGAAACACAAAGCAGGAGACATAAAAATAAAACCAAGATCAAAAGGAGTGGGGAAAAATATCTGAGAATAGGTATTGCAAGGTGGTTGGGGCGAATTCATTATTGAATTTGCCTCTGAAGTTTTGAAGAGTTGAGACAAAAAGAGATGTGATTGTACAGTTCTCTTCTGAGGAAGGAAAACATAAACTCCTTCAGAGAGACAGACTTTTTCTTGGCCCTGAATTTATCATGTGCTTTTTCATTTCAGGGAGCATTGGGTAACATTATGGACAGTGCTTTCAACTGTTCTTTTTTTAAAAAGGCCCTAAATGATTATTTAAATGGATTTTTTTTATGTCCACCCTCTATAAAAGCTGAGGGCATAAATCCTAAGTGTGTGAAGGAGTTTCTGTAAGAAGCTGAATTACCGTGGGGGACAAATGTTGCTTTGTGTTGATCCAATTTAGTGTATAGCTGAAACTTAGGGAGCCTAGCAGAATGGCTAGTTAATCTGCACATTAAGCCATCTCTCTCTGCTATCAGATGTCTTAAATGAGCCTTTGGCAGGAGTTGGATACTAATCAGTTCATGGTTGAGCTCCCTGCCCCAAGTACCATGCTTCTTTGGTGTTAATTGGAGAGGGTTCCAGGGCTTTGGATACAAGAGCCGGAGGAGGCAGAGCTTGAGTTCTGCTATTCAGTCTTAAGAACCTGATTTGCATTCTTCCCCACTGGAGGACCGGCCCCTATTCCAGCAGAGTGCCAGCGAGGAAGGTAATTATTTTCTTCTTTAGAAGGAGCTGTTAATCTGCTAAGTACTTGGTAGAAACTTCGGAGTTCTGTGCCATCTATAAGGAATAATATTTAGATCTGTGCAGTTTTTTAGATGGACTGTTATTAGCTGTCTACCCAGGATTATCCCTGGAAGACAGAAGAACATGTGGCCAAGTTTTGGAGCCAGGGAGACCTGTTGAGTCCCACTTTACCATCTTCTAGGTGTGTTGTCTCCAGGGTGTTGCTTAACATGTCCAAGGTTTGGTTTTCTTGGTTTAATGGGATGATGCATTTTAAGTGAGAAGCACAGTAACTAGCACTTAAGTGCTGTAGTGATGATGATTTATTACTGTTGGAGAGTCCTTCCCCACCAAATTCTTAACCAGTTAGGATGCAGGAATGCCTCTTAGGGCCTGGAGAAGCCCCACCTAAAGGAACTAGGATGTATGTGTCCTGGAAACAGCTGCTCTCGAGAGGAGCTAGGGAACATAGGTTGAGCTGGCCACCTCCAGCCCTTTCCTGAGTCTTACTTTGGGTGTGGGACATTAGTGTTCCATTCAAATTATAGTTGTTGTTGTTGTTTTTTAATTGTTCCCAAATGTCTCATGCTAAATGCATCCCCATGATAATGGTGCTGCTAAGCTGCAGTGAAGCGCCCT